ATAACCCCTCTTTTGAAACACCCCTATTCATTTGACATAATTATTCAGTGGACATTTTTCTCTGAACCGAGGAAAAATCAGACAAATTATATATGCAGTGGCATGAAGAACTGTCATATAGGCCCCTCCTACCCTTAAGAGCCCATAGATGTTACCCACAAATTACATGATATCCGAATATAAGTATAGCATTAAAAAAATGCATTGATAAGTAAAGGTTAAGAAGACTCCTCGGTACAAAATCACTGTCGTAATTATAAAATGAGGATCTAGTTGGTTATACCTATCAGATACTTCCAAGTATAGATCTACAAAATGTTTACCCACATGACATAAAGTACAACATGTGGGAGACATATCCTTAAGGAGCTAAGATGAACCATTTTACATGGTTTTTTTTTCACAGATGTGGTTCTATTTGGGGTATGGTACTTCCATTTTTGTGGCTGTGCTTGTGTATTATATCCGGCACTGCAAGTACTTATTTACGGAGCTCTAAATAACCTTCCGAGTTTCCGTAGTTATCATGGAAACAAAGAATAGTCACTATATAAGATGTGTTTCCAAAATGACTTAAGTGTTTCCGAGACAAATTATCTTGGAAACATGTGTTACCAATATAATTTATCTCCAGAACATGGAATTCCAAGATAGCTGATCTCAGAAACATGTTTTCGAAATAAGCATTCTTGGAATTCTGTGTTACCAAGATAATTTATCTCTGAAAAAACATGTGTTGCCGAGATATGCTATCTCGATAAAGCATCTCATTACTGAGATAATTTATCTCGGAAACACATATTATCTAGGTAACAAATGTGTTCCATAGGCACGTTTAATCCGATGACCAGAGTAATGATAATGTGATAATGTAATTATCATTATTATTATTAATTTGTTTATTTTCTTGTTTATTGATATTTTCCACATAGGCCTACAAAACAAAGTATTCATAATATTCAGTTAAAAAAATATATAATGATCAGGGAACAGTGAAATTTCACTGTTCCCTGATAATGATCATAAAAGGTATAAAAAGTAGGCCTATGTGGATGGTACTCAAAATAAGTTTGAAAACAAACTTTAAGGTATGACCACCATTTATAATATATAATAAATCATCATTAATAATGCGATGATGAAAAAAAAAAGAAAATTAAAACTTAATAAAAAGTCAAGTGCAAAATGACATCAACAAACTGTTCAACCTACATAAAATTTGACCCAAAGATCGATGATTAATGAAAAAACACAACAACCCAGCATTTAAAACAAGACTGACTCAGGAATCA